GCACAGTTTATCAGGTTTCAAGTCCAGGTTTCGGTTCAGCAGTTAAATCCAAATCATCCAGCAAGTTTTGTCTCAGAGCAGTTTTAAGTCAGTTTCTCCTTCAAATATATCTGGGAAAAACAGACAAACTTTTAACTGTGGCCAGCACATATGCAAGATGCCCCAGGTCACACCTTGTCACCATTTGCCCACAGCAAAACCACAGTCTCTCCATCCACAGGGTCTTGTTTTCACCAGGGCCTTGCCAGCACAAGCCTTCCTTGCCTCAAGTCTTACTTGCCTCAAGTCTCACTGCCCAGTATGGGAAGAATTCTTTCTCTTATCAACTGATGCTGATTTGCAAGACTGTGTGTCTGTAGTTAACGTGGCTGGGGACCAGAGAAGCCTAACTAATGGCTAAAAAAAGACAACTTTTAGGCTAACACCACAGCCAACCCTCTGGCTTTTCTTTTTCTTTTTTTATTAATTTTAAGGAAAGTTTACAGAGACTTTGGATTTCCATTCATACATTGTTGCTCTTTTCTCCCTGCCCAACCTCCACCCCTCCCAGTTCACTCTTCTCTTTGAAAAGTAAAAGAAAAATTCTTTCATTGTTATGCAATCCCTCCCTTTTAAACTGTTCTCTCCCTCATCTGTTTCAACACAGTATACATCATTCATCCTCTCCTTCTCTGTCTTCCCTCACCCCCGATGTCAGTTCCGTTTTACAACAGTGGCTCTATGCAATATTTGTCCTTTTGAGACTAAGATATTTCACTCAGCATAAGGTCCTCCAGGGTCACCCATTTTGCATAATATTTCATGAGTTCCTTGTTTTTCAATACTGCATAGTATTCCATTGTATGAATATACCAGAGATTCTCTATCCATTTATTTGTTGATGGGCCTCTGGTTTTTCTTAACCAATATTTCTCATTATCTGAAGGATCAGCCTTCCCCTCACCTTCAGCTATATTTAGGGAAATATATGAGCCAGCTGCTTTATTCTTTATGCCGTAATTCCCCTATTTTAGATAGCAAATTTTTAATTTATCTAGTCTTATCAACATGTCCAAAGCATGTGCGGCAAAGCCTCATTATTCTTGCCTCCAAGGAGCACTCTGATTGCATTCTCTCAAGACATATCTATTCATTCTTTTGACAGTCCATGGGATGTTCAGTGCTCTTTTCCAACACCACAGCTCAAAGGCATCAACACATTTTGGACATGTTGCTAGGAGGTGCTACTCCTTGGAGAAGGACACGATGTTGGGAAGGGTGGAGGGTCTGCAAAGGAGAGGAAGACCCTCAACCAGGTAAACTGACACAGTGACTGCTGCAATGGATTCTTGTATGTCAGGAAGTGTGAGGATGGTACAGGACGGAGCAGTGTTCATATCTTTTGTTCATAGGGTCACTATGAGTTGTACTCAACTCAATAACACCTAAGAACAACAGTCTTATCAAACCAGTACTCTGAAGAAGCAAGCATGTCTTTTTCTCTGAAGCATCTTATGTTAAATTCTGTTGAATCTGCATCTATAAACAAAGATACGGCCCAGAACACATCATCAGGTCACAGCAATTAACAGTAGTTCTCAGAATGAAACATCTTCTCTTCATCTGTTTGGGTTTGGTCAACATATCCTCAGCCATCTAGCCTCAGTGGCTAGATTCAAATGGGGATCAGCCACCAACTCAGGAGTCCACCCATCTTCCTGTTTCAAACTTACTGGTGGTCCCTTACTCAATTTTAGGCTCACATGGGCCAACTCAGCAAGCACATCAGGGATTCCCAGGACTCCCTGCTCCACAAAGCAGTAACCTTTCTTCATTTATCCATTTATCATGTTAGTAGACAGTGCTGAAGGAACAGTCCAAATTCAGCCTCTTTATTACTATGTATTTCCCACTTCCATCAAGTGGACCCAGATGTATACCATGAGTGGAACATACTTGCCAGCTTCCTTTAACTTTGAAAGTCCTAGAAAGGGTTCTAATGCTTCCTCCTTCCTCTTATCAAGTAGACTCAGGTGCTCACCATGAGGTAAGCAGTAATTATACTTTTCCTTAGTTTATTGAAAAAGCCTGTTTCTGTTTGTCTACTTTCAAAGGTAACTCTTCAGAATATTGGGTGGAGTTTAATCTTTCTTAGTTAAGCTCCATATTCTGTGTCAAATTCTACTACTATAAACATTCTTTTAATCCAAATTAATTTCCTTTTTTTAATATCCTATTACTATCCAACTGGCTAACATTTTCTCTTTAATTACAGTATGTCCCAATCAACAAAAACCTTAATCATTTCAATATATCTTAGCATTAAATCAGCAAAAACATTAATCATTTTTATTATATAGTTCAGCATAACATTATGACATACAAAGGGGTGGAAGCATCATACATAGTTTTCTAAATAAAAATTCTTAGAATAATCTTAATCCGACTTCATAATCTTTTGTGTAGGGCCATAAAGCAACTTCTCAGCTTTTCTTTCCCCCTCAGTAACAGCAACAGTCACCTTTTTGGTTTTCTCCCCCTCTTCATAGAAATAAATAATAACCTTTCTAACTGTATATCTTCCCAAGCCCCACATTCACAAAAATAAACTATGAGTCTGTGAGTCTGAAACAACGAATCCCACTTCTGACACCACATCTCAAAAGAAGAACAGAAAACTGAACATGGAGGCACGAGGCCTTAAGTGTCTCTGAAAGGGCCAGAAGGAGTAAGAATAGCACACCCCAGAGCAGAAAGCAGATAGACTCCCTAGCCCAGCCCCATGGTGCCTCTAGAGTCACACCAACAGTAAGAGGTTTGTTTCTTTGTTGTTGACTCGCAGACTCACAGTCACGGTAGCAACAATGAAGTTTATAAGGGAAGAGAGTGGAGAAGGCAAAGAATATCTCACAATATAAGTTCAGGCTTTTGCTCAACCGTTCCAAGGCACAATTCCTCAATAAGTCCAGGCTCTTTTATCAGTTCAGCAGTCAAATCCAAATCATCCAACAAGGTTTGCCTCAAAGCAGTTATAAGTCAGCTTTTCCTTCAAACAGCAAGAACAGCCAAACCTTTAACTGTGGCCAGCAAAAATGTAAGAAGCCTCAGGTCACATCTTGCCACCATTTGTCCATAGCAATGGTACAGTCTTTCCACCACCAGGGTCTTGCTTTCACCAGGGTCTTGTTGCCACAAGCCTTGCTTGCCCCAAGTCTTGCTGCTCAGTGTGGGAAGCACTCTTCCTCTTATCCTGGTCTGACAGCTATTGATAATTTGCAAGACCACATTTTTGTAGTTAAGGTAGCTGGAGACCAGAGGAGCTAACCTGTAATGGCTAAAAAAAATGCCAACTTTTAGACTAACAACACACCCCCAAATAACCTGAATTAACAGTAGAGTACATAGCATTCTACTTTACTAGAAAATGATTCCTAAGGTAGCAGTGAGCTCAGATCAGAAAACTATTTCCAAGGAGAATGAGTCATGCATGGAAAGGGGAAGAAGAGCAGAGTCTCACCAAATATTATCAGACTTAATTGTGGAAGAATGGATTAAACCAGAAGTTCCAAAAGATGGGTTGATCCCAAACTTCTGGAGATCTGGCTAGAAAGGCTAATCACACAGAATCTAGGTAGGGAGACTGAGGGGATAGATAGATAGATAGATAGATAGATAGATAGATAGATAGATAGATAGATAGATAGATATCTGGGAGGAATTTTGTCAACCAAACACCTTTCAGGGTCTGACTGACCCTCAGTATGTACTGGGATGCAAAATGTGCCCTGAGTCCAGGCAATATTTTTAGCTAAATGAAGCAAAAAGAAAAAGACAAAAAACTGCAGAGAGTTGGAGTGACGTAGAAAGGAGCAGTGTATAACAGCAGTTTGAAGCTCTGAATTGGTGATGATGGTGGTGGTGGTGGTGGTTATGGTGGTAGTAATGGTGATGGTGGTGGTTATGGTGGTAGTAATGGTGTGGTGGTGGTGATGGTGGTACTAATGGTGATGATGGTGGTGGTTATGGTGGTAGTAATGGTGACGGTGGTGGTGGTGATGGTGGTAATAATGGAGATGGTGGTATTAATGGTGGGGAGTGATAGTGGTGGTGGTGGTGATTGTGGCAATAATGGTGGTTGTGGTTCTCTTAAGTTCATGATGACCTTGTAAACAATAGAACAAAACATTTCCCAGTCTTGTACAATCTTCATGATCATTGGTGTATTTGTTGCACCTATTGTGTTGGTTGATCCAACTCGCTGAGGATTTCTTTACCAAACATGGTGTTTGGACTAGTGTTGGAACTAGTGCTAGAAATACTGAATTCAAGTCCCAGCTTTGCTGTCATGTGATCCTAGATGGTCATTTACCATTTCTGAATCCCAGCTTCTTAATCTTGAAATAGGTGACAACAGTACCGCCTTCATATTGTTGGAAGAATTAAGTGAGATGATATAAAAATCTATTGGCTGCCCATAAATGATAACCAAGAAATGAATGAAATGGGAGATAATGAGAACTGACTCTACCCAGAGTGGTGGTGTTGCTTTCAAGTGCTATAGAGCTGATTCCATTACATAATAGTCTAATAGGTCAATGGAGAACTGCTCCCATAGGGTTTCTAGTCAATAATGTTTACGTGTGCAGATGATCAGGGCTTTGCTTCCACAGACTGGCAGATGATTTCAAATCACCAACCTTAGCAGCCTCAGTTAGCAGCCAAGTATGTAAGCCTTGCACCACCAGGGCTTCTTTAGCCAGAGTTGAAGGGGCACCAGAAAGCCCACAAACCTTGGAGTTTAGCTCTGCGTCATGATGTTAGGAAAATCTACACCTGAAAGCCAGATCCAAATTAAACAGTAACTATCCAAGGTCAGGGAAAGAGCCTTGTCAGAACAGGTTCCTCCCCTTGTTCCACCAAGGAGTGGCTCAGCCTTGGCCAGGTGGGCCCCACTCCCCTCCTGCCTGTATAAATGTGTCCTCATGCCTCCTCGCCGGCCACTCATTGTGGACACTCACAGCATGCTGGGCATCACAGTTCTTGCTGCGCTCCTGGCCTGCGGTAAGCTCTGGCTGGGGATGGGCTGCAGCTTCTGTCTGTGAATGTGGGATGGCATCCTGGGAAAAGGGCAGAGCCAGGGGCCCTCAGCTCCCCAGGGGTCCTGAAAAATAATGCAGGGTCCTGTGCTGCCTCAGATGCTGCTGACTCACTGTGTGTCAGACAAGTCATTTTCCTGCTCTGTGACAAACTAGTCAATGAATGATCACACACACAAAGTAAGGAAGGGAAATTTGGTGTGGAAACCACCCAGCATGGGGCCAGAGACACAGCAGATGCCACATCTCAGATGCACTCCATGGACCATCCAAATCTATCTTTGGCAGTAACATTTCTCCCTTGAGGATTCGTCACTATTTTAGTGACATTCCATCAGATTAGGAATCAAAGGATTTGGCTTAAATGTCACTTACTCACTGTAGGACGTAGACATGTCACTTTAGCTCTCTTAATCTCAGGGATTTGTTTGGGAAGTGAGAGCACTGGATTAAAAGTCCTTCCAGGTAGCAACAGTGATTATAGAAGCTCATGTTTACTGTATGTATGCTTACTGTATGTTTGGGAAGAACATTCTTCTAAGTGGTACAGAACTGGTCTGTCAGTTTGCTGTAGTGAGGTAACTTGAAGTTGCTGTGACGCAGAACACTGTGCCACTGGTATGTTGGATGCCATAACAGTTACCCATGGTGGATGGTGTTTGGTGGAGCTCCCACATTAAGACAGTTCTGGAAGCAGGAATGGCATCCACTCCCTAAACAACATGCCTCTGGAAACTCTATGAACATTAGAGAAAGGATGGCAGCTATAGAGCAGGGTTCAGATCTTTCATTCATAGGGTCACTATGCATCGTGCCCGACTCAATGGCACTTAACAACAACAACTGTATGCCAAGGCATTTGCTAAATTCTTCACATGATAGTTTGAACCCCCTGCAACAACCCTGGGAGTTGGTGATGTTGTTAGGTGCTGTAGACGTAAATCTGACTCAGTGATCCCATCCCACGTGACAGAATACAAGTGCTCCCTATGGCGTTCTTGGGTACTATCTTCATGGGAGCAGATTATCAGATCTTTTCCCCAAGTAGTCACCAGATGGGTTTGAACAGCTGACCTATTTGGTAACCTGTTGAGTATTTAACCATTGTTCTACCAGGGCTCCTTCCCTTGAGGCTCAGTATCTGGCCCAAGACCACTTGACTAAGGAGTAGTTTTTGTTGTGTACTGTGGAGTTGGAACTGACCTACAGCTGATGCTCCAACGGGTTTCAGAGGAAGTTAGTTGCACAGGAAGAGATTGTCCATCCTTCTCCCACAGAGCAGGTGGTGGCCTCCTACTGCAAGCCTTCAGGATTGCAGTGCAGCTTCTTGTCATTAGGCCACCAGAGCTCCCTTGACTAAGAAGTGGCTGAGCCAAAATTTGAATCTAAGTGCTCTAGACTGATCGCCACAGCTTCCTAGCTGCAAAATTCTGTAAAACTGGATTCAACATTCATGTTGTCCCAGTAGGTAAGGGTGAAGGACACCATTGTGCTCAGACACTGTGCACACACACGAGACTCCACCTTATTTCCTTCCGTGTACTAAGCATCTCCTCTATGCAGGGTCCTTTGCTAAGGCTTTCTATGCATTGTCTAATTTAGTTCTCAGGACAAACCTACGAGGTTAGTGCTATTCTTCCCATTTTGCAGTAAGAGAAGTTGAGACCTAGAGATGTAAATGGCTTTCAGAAAATCATGACGTAAAATGTGAACCCATGTTTGCCAGACCTAAAACTGTTGCTCTTTCCACCGTCTCACCCCACTTGTTCCCGCTGGAGCGGGGATGCCAACCCAGTCACCTGAGCCCCTTCTCTCCCACTCACTTAGCCTCCGGCTGCGGGGTCCCCAGCTTCCTGCCCAACCTATCGGCCCGAGTGGTAGGAGGAGAAGATGCTATTCCCCACAGCTGGCCTTGGCAGGTAAGCATGCTGTTAGCAGGTGAGAGGTGGGGGTGGGAGGAGCTGAGGGTCCCCCAGGATCTGACGTGTGGCACGTCTGCCTTCTCCCCAGATCTCCCTCCAGTACCTCAAGGATGGCACATGGAGGCACACATGTGGTGGCACCTTGATCGCCAGCAGCTTCGTTCTCACGGCCGCCCACTGCATCAGGTAAGCTGAGACACCCCCTCACCTTAGAGTACAAACCTGATAGGCTTTACTAAAGTCTCTCTAAGCCTCAGTACCTTGTTCTAAAAATAGGGATTTTATATATAAAATATAAATATGTAATATATATATATATATATATATATATATACACACACACACACACACACACACACAATTTTTCCTTTTGGGGACTAAATGGCATAATGTATGCAGAAGGCACTTAAAGTAACATCAGTAGGAGTGCAATGTTTGGGGGAGTGGTTAAGGCAAATCTAAACATCTCCCGTAGAATATCATATTACCAAAAAAGACAAGCTGCTTGCTTCCAATAACTACACTGTGCATTTATTCATGCAACAAATATTTATTGTGCACCTACTACATGGCAAGAGGCATGGTGGCATAGACTATTAAGTGTGGGACCACTTACTCAAAGGCAGACAGTTCTAACCTACAGGCTGCTCTGAGAAACTTGAAGGAGGGTCACGTGAATTGGGAACGACTAGACAGCAGTAAGTTTGATGGGAGTTCTTATGTGCCAGGGGATATGTCAAGGAAGAAGATCACATCTGGGCTGTCAGGGAGCTTCGAGTCTAGTATTAGAACAACAATGAGACAAGTAAATATGTAACACAGCAAGATGTAATGGAAACTAAGAAGGAAGTAAAGGGCTCAAAAGTGAGAGGAGCTCTGTTTAAAAAGGTGTGGCTGAGGGAAGGAGTCCTTGCTGGCCCAAATGTTTAGTAAGCTAACCAAAAGACTAGAGATTAAAATTCATCCAGAAGTGCTTTGGAAGAAAGGCCTGGTGACCTGAAAAATGAGCCACAAAACCCCAAGAAGACAGTTCTACTCTGACACACCTGGGGTCACAAATTGGGATTAACTTGACAGCAAATAGTTTCTTTTGGTTTCAGAGAAATGGGAGAAGTTCCTTTTTTTAACCTCCATAATAACTGGATATTTTAAGATATAGCAAAAATAATGAAATCATAATGCCTGATGCAGCAGGAGCAGAGTATGTGAGGGACAGAACAAGAGAAGGGGTGCCAGAGAGGAAACAGGTGGGCTGATTGTGGGGGACAGTGGGTGGACTTTGGTTTTGATCCTGGTGAGATGGGAGAGTTTTTAGCTGAAGGAGAGCAGAGGCTGAGTCAACTTTTAGAAGACTCCCACTGATTACTGGGTTAAGAATAGACAGTAGGGAGGCCAGCACGGAGGGAGGGGGCCAGTTAGGTCATGCTTGCAAATGATGCAGGCAAGAAGTGATGGTAACTTGGACTGGTTTATTCTCACAGCAGCCTTGGGACCAATGTTCTAGTATTATCAATGTGGACTATTAGATGATACACTTAGGGCTGAGAAAAGGGTCCTTGTACATAGCACCAGCAGTTTGCAATCAGCTGCTAACCTAGAAGCTGGTAGCTCTAAGCCACCTAGTGATTGCATAAGAAAAACCTGGCAATAAGCTTTTCTAGAGATTGAAGCCAAGAAAACGCTCAGAAGCAGTTCTGCCTTGTAACACGTGGGGTTGACAGGAGTCAGAATCAACTCAACTGTAACGAGTGTGGTTTTAGGGTTTTACAAATGAGGGGACTGAGGCTGGGCTCTATTCCCTACGCCCAGGATCAGTGTGAACTCTTCTATGTTAGCCACAGGTCTGGGCCAACAAATCAGCCCTGACCTTCTGCTTCCTCCACCAGCAACACTCGCACCTACCGCGTGGGCCTGGGGAAGACGAACCTGGCGGTGGAAGATGAGGAAGGCTCCCTGTTTGTGGATGTGGACACCATCTTTGTCCATGAGAAGTGGAACTCCTTCCTGGTGCGGTGAGTGTCTGCCTGACCAGCGCTCAGGTCCTGGGGGCAGTGCAGAAACAGGATTCCCTAAGACAAAGCCACAGAGCCTGTTTCACCCTGCCACTGGTGCCCTGTGCTTGAACAGCCAGCAAGTGGGTTCCACGCATGCAAACGGGCAAAATACTAAACAGTTAGACATCTCCCTCACTCCCATCATCGTCCAAACGGGTTCCAGGAAGATACACTGAGATCCAGACTCACCTTTACTGAGCATGCTCACTGCATGCTCCCACTCCAATACACACCTTACATACCACCCCTCACCACAGAGGGAGCCAAAGCTCAGAGAGGTTAGGGAGTGCATCCCAGGTCGCACAGCCCAGAAGCAGGTCAAGTGAATCATTGCATAAAAATCAGCACGAAGCTTGTTCCTGAAGCTGAGGTTAAAAACGTCCCACCTACTGCTCCCCATGCCCCAGTACTCTCTGTCCTGTCTTTATATTAGGCAGTTCACTGCATAGTCTCGGTTAGGGAAATAACAGGGTACAAATCAGGATGGAGATCAACTCAGAAGGAACAGGAACAACTCGGAATCAAGTTCCTTGGTCAGGAGAGCCTCTCAACTTCTGCCAGCTCTGTTAGGAGGTTTCTTGGGCAAGTGCTATGAATTTTAGTTTCATGGGTTGAGAGGCCCTGCTGCCACCTTCCTGCTTCCGGCTGTCTCGCCCCACTATCGTTCTTACTACTGCTGCACTGTTACCTCTTGCTGTCTTCCACGTGACAGCTCTCATCTCCTGGCTCTAGGAGGTTCCCAGCGCAGGAAATTCGGGCCCACAGAGCATAATCCATTCTCATCTATTTCTCCTTGGTGGCATTCTGAGGGCTCTCTCTGCTTTGGAACGGGCTGTCTTTTAAACCTAGCAGGATGACCAAAGTCACCATCAAAGTTTTTAATGGCAAAATCTCCTCATTAAGGTTCCATATACCTAATTTGCATGGCCCCACCCTTGCAAAGGTGCCATTCGCCTTATTCATGTTATTAGCAAACTCTCCAAGTCCCCTTAACGGAACACAAGGACTTTAATTTACATAGTCCCAGTCAGTCTTTTGGTGGGAGTTTCCAGACTGTATCGCTGGAAAGGCCATATTAAGTCATTCACTGCACTGTGATGGGAAAACAAAGCCTCTAACAATAACAAGAAGATGACTCAAACTGGATCTACCTAGTGCTGCCCCACTTTATTTCTGGTGAAATGAAAATATAAAAACCACAGCCTAAGTCTCCTTCTTCTATGATAATAACTTCCCCTTTGCTTTTGCTTAATTTCTGATTATACATAACAGAGGAGATTTGGAAAGCTTCAGCTCTGGTTTCTTCTCTCTATTAAGTCTTTCCAGTAAAAGGGGTGGGTAGTCAAGTTAGATGGTGGATTGTTTGCTCCCTGGCACATCTGTCAGCCGACAAGAAGCTGGTGTCTGTGACATTTATGGAGGAACCCGACTCACAGCCCAGGGCCCCCCCCAGCTCACTCACCCTCTCGCTTGGATTCCAGCAATGACATTGCCCTCATCAAGCTGGCGGAGCCGGTGGAGCTGAGCGACACCATCCAGGTGGCCTGCCTGCCAGAGGCAGGCTCCTTGCTGCCTCACGACTTCCCCTGCTATGTCACTGGCTGGGGCCGCCTCTGGAGTGAGTACCGCAACGCTGTGTATGTCAGGGTGAAACTGTTCTCCAAAGGGTTTTTAGTAGCAAAGTCTGGCAAAGCAGGTCTCCAGGCCATTCTCCTGAGATGTCCCTGAGTGGACTCAAACCTCCAACTTTTCCATTAGCAGCCAAGCACATTGAGTACAGCTCTTGGCACATCTTGAGAGCCTTCCTGAAGGAAGTCATTCCAACCCCAAGCATGCCACACAAGTTTGCTCATCACTCTTCATTTTTGCCTAGATATCTTCACATGTTGTTAAACTTTATAATAACCATAATTATTAAACACATGCTATGTGGTAGACATTCTAACAAGTATGAGGATTGAACGGATTAGAAATGGTCAATTGTTTAGAACAGGACTTGGCATATATCAAGTGCCATGTAAGCCATGTAAGTACCTGTTGAGTAAAATAAATCAACTATGGGGCAAGAGACAGTATTGAGTCTTTTGTTGTTGTTGTTGTTGTTTACTGTCAAGTCAGAACTGATGCATAGCTGACCCTCTAGTGGGTTTTCAGAGGCAGTTAACCACACAGGAGAAGATTGCCCATTCTTCTCCCACAGAGTAGCTGATGGATTAGAACTGTGTGCCTTCGGGATTTCAGCACAGCTTCTTACCACTAGGCCATCCAAAACCAAAACCAAACTCTCTACCAGTTAGTTGCTTCTAACTCCTGGCAACCCTGTACCATGACCTAGTGGTAAAGACCTGCACAGCCAATCCAAAGGCATGGGGTTCGAATCCACTAAACGATCTACAAAGAAAAATGGGCAATTTCCTCCCATACAATTTACTGCCTCTGAAAACCTGCTGGAGGGTCAGCTATGAGCCAGTTCCAACTTCATGGTGCGTAACAACATAGCAACCCTACAGGGCAGTGCAGAATTTCCCCATAGAGTTCTGAGGGCTGCAAACCTTTAAGGAAGTAGATTCCTGCTTCTTAGATAGCAGTCAACTGCTTTAACAATTGTAGATCTTTTTTTATGGTATACCAGCTGCCCAAATAAAGTCCAGCTGAATTAAAAAGCAAAATATATAGAAGTAAAATTCCAGAAGAACTAGAGGCTAATAGAGAGTGTTACTTAGAAAAGAGGTAAAAGTGCAACAATGAATGATTGGAAACCCTAAGTCTCTGTAAACTTTCATTAAAATTACTTTAAAAAGAGATCAAAAAAGAATAAATCTACATTTGATATTTATCAAAGAGAGGGGGAAAACCTACAAGGAAATGATTGGCAATTAGAATGATAGCATTCAAATTAAAGAAATTCAACTCAATGGCTCTTCCTCGAGCACTTTCTGTGGTTGATTCTCAAATCACTCTCCTTCGCTGCCCCAAGAGTAATCTCAGCCCCAAACAGCTCAGGACCACAGACTCATCATCTCTTAATTAGGAACCTGCATGTGGTTTGTAAAATGCCCCAGCTGGACCTCACCACCCCCACCAAAGCCTGTCCTCCGAAGGCCCAGCAGATGATGAGTCTGGGGCTTGGCTCATCCCGCCCACACACCTGCTGATTTCTCAGTCACTGCTCTCTCTCTGCAGCCAATGGCCCCATCGCTGATGAACTGCAGCAGGGCCTGCAGCCGGTGGTGGACCATGCCACCTGCACCCGACTTGACTGGTGGGGCACCATGGTGAAGGACACAATGGTGTGCGCTGGTGGTGATGGTGTCATCTCAGCCTGTAACGTGAGTATCCAGACCCAGCGCGCCTTCTCCCTATTCCCAGCAGACAAGTAAGGGGCCAGGAAGGGGGGCGAGAAGGGTGGGGAATGGGAGACCCATTTGAGTGCCCCCACTGGACTGAGCAAGATCAGAGGAAGACCCTCCTTCAGCACTGTTTAACTGTAACAGTTTAACCTCTTTGAACCTCAGCTTTCCCATCTATCAAATGGGAAAGTATACAAATCTTCACTAAAGACTGTGCCACCACCTCCATCAGTCCAGGAAGACAGGGGACATAGAGAGATATGACCCAAGAAGATCTAAACCAAGAAGCATTTAAGACCATCAGGAATCATCCTGCTCCCAAACATACAACCCTCTCCCCACATCCCCCTTTCCCACTTTCTCAGATCTCCATACAGCTCTCCTCATTTCCTCTCCACACAGCTCACAGAGTCTTAGACACAGGGGTTCCAGACAAATGAGCAATTGAGACACAGAGAAGCTTAACATTATCACACAGCAAACCAGGAACTCTCCTGACATGCCAGATCCCGCCGAGAACTAGGACAAGCCAGCACCAAGTCAGATCTCCTCACCTCCCTCATCAGGAACAGGCAGGGGCATGAACAGGGAGACTGAGGGGTCAGCTCAGATGCTCTTGAAGCCCTGTGCCTGTTTTCAAAGCCTCCCTCTGGAGGAGGCCTGGAGACTGACACTGAGCTGATCTGGTGCAGGGGGACTCTGGCGGCCCACTGAACTGCCAGGCGGACAACGGCTCCTGGGTGGTGCGTGGGATCGTCAGCTTTGGCTCCGGCCTGGGCTGCAACACCGCCAAGAAGCCCGCAGTCTACACCCGCGTGTCTGCCTACATCGACTGGATCAACGAGGTGAGTTCCTGCCTCCAGGTTTCTGTGAGCTCCCCCTGCCCCCCACCCCACGTGAGTCCTCCCCTCACACACTCATTTCTTCAGTCACTTCTCCGTGTGTACCTCCACTCAGGCTTGCTCATATGCACACCCACAAAATGATAACAACAAAAAACACCATTGCTATCTAATCGATTCCCATTCACAGTGACTCTGCAAAACAGTTTTTCTAGACTCTGTAGGCAGACTTTTTTCTAGACTTTGTAGGCAATAGGACTGCCCCAAAGAATTTCCAAGGCCATAATCTCTATGGAAGCAGATCCCTAGTCTTTCTCCTGTGGAGCAGCGGGAGGGTTCAAACCACCACTTCTAGGCTAGCAGCCACGCACTTAGCTGCTGTACCCCCAATCCTCCTTGCTTACCCAATCACTCCTTTATTCATGCACTTAGTATTCATTCACATCTTCACTCATTGATTCGGTCAGTCATTAGCTAGTTGTAGAAGTATTGATGGAGTTCTTACTGTCTGCAGCCCTTGAGTTGGGTGTAGTGGGGGAAACAGGCGCTAACCTCATCCATTCATTCATTCATTTGTCCACTGACGTCCAAGCAAATGCTTATGTCCTGATCCCAGACACCACACCACTACCCTCAAAGTACACATGGCTCCAATAAAGCAGAGGAGAAGGGTGGTGAGGATGGCTGTTCATCACCCTGGGGGTCACCCTGAGCTCGGGCCTTCAACACGGGTGATGGGAGGATGTCCTCTGAGCCCCTGTTTGTAACAGCAGCAATCCGAGATACTGAGGGGAGTCCAGGTCCCCAGGCAGAGATGAAGCTGATGTGTCAATACCTAGACTGCCCTGCCTGGTCCCCCATGTGTCCACTCCCCTGTCTGAGCCTCACACTGTCCCAGAAGGGGATCCATGCCTACAATCCCTCACATCCTTCTCTACTCCCCCAGAAAATGCAGCTGTGATGCGTCCCTGGGATCCACAACAGCAAGTTCCCACCACAATAAACTCCTTTCGCCACAAGTCATCTTGATTTTTATTTTATTATTATTACTACTATTATTATTGTGTGTATGTACCATCAAATCTGATCTGAGTGGTACAGGAGGAGATTGCCCCTCCTTATTCAGCAGAACATCTGGTTTATTCTTGCTTTAATGCCTCCCCTGAGCGTCACCAGGAAAACTTGGTAGCACAGTGGTTAAGCCTTTGACTGCTAATCAAATAGTCAGCAGTTCAAACTCACCAGTTGCTCCACAATAGAAGGAAGGGGCAGTCTGCTTCCCTAAAAATGCAGAAACTGCAGTTCTGCTCTGCCCTATCGGGTCAGTAGGAGACAGAACTGACTTGATTGCAGTGGGTTTTGGGGGTCCCAAAGTTCTCTAGGACCTGTCCCTTTCCAGGGAATCCAAAGATAGGCCTCATCAAGTTGGCTGAGGGCGAGCTGCTGGGAGTGGTGTGAGACTGGGAGTCACCCAGGAAGCTATGAGTAGCCTGAGGGGATTCGTGAAGGGCACATCCATTTGTGACCCTCATCAGAACATCTTTTTCTCTCTGGATCTGCTTCCATTGAGGGGTCTGGTGGAAAATAAGATCTCTCTAAAGGCAGCCACTCCCAACCCAGAGGTGCCAGCCCAGGAGCTCAGAGACAGCCGCTCGCTCACTGAGGAAGGGGCTTCCCAGCAGGCTGCCCCACCCAGCACAGCCCCCACAGCTGCTATGTGTCCTAGTTTCCAGTTCTAGAAGTGTTTGAGTCCTAACCTCAGGCCCACACTGAGCAGAGTGGAGGTTCAGTGAGCAGGATGACCCTAGTCTAACCTTCAGGGATTTGGTTTGAGGAAAGCAGTGCTTTCTACACAGATCACAGTGGGTTAGGCTGGAAAAGATTTCACGTATTAGCCACATGGGAAAACTGAAGCCCAGAGAAGAACGAAAGAAAGAAAGAAGTGACCAAACATGCATGAACTTAGAGAAGGGAGAGATTATCTCATGGTGACTGGAGGGCATGTGGGATGAAAAGAAAGTATGGCCAGTGAAGGTGGGAACCCTGAACTCCTAACAGGAGTGCCCATCTGGGGTGCTTCTGAAGACATACTCTCTGTGGAGGGCTTCTGCAGTAGACTTCTCATGGAAGCAGGGTGAGAAAGGCTCTAATCCTGACCTCTGGACTCATGCTCAGGTTCAGAGCAGCCTCTAAGTGGTCTGTGGGTTGTTCCAGTTCTCTATCAAACTTTGGCTCATGGACGGTGGGGACCATGTCCTCCATACATTCAAGGTGCCAAGCCAACTCTCAGGAAGGAGTCCATTCTCTTGAGAAAGACAAGAAGGCCCTCATCAGGAAATAAACACAGAGACCAAGACAACGGGCTCGAGCATTCAGAGATCTTGCGGACTGCGCAAGACAGAGCAAGTTTCCAATCTGCTGTTCATATGGTCACTATGACTTGTTGTTGTTAAGTTCCATCGAGTCGCAGGCAACTCATAGCGACCCTATGAAGGAGAGTCCTTGACGCTTGGGTGTCTCTCATCCTTTCTCCAAGTTCATAGGGTTTCCAGAGGCAAGCTATTATGGAAGTGGACGCCACTCCTCCTTCCACGCTTGTTCAATCAGGGAGCTCCACCCCACTCTCAGTCCGCATTGGGTAGCCAACCATTAATGCATTTGACACATCCGTGTCACAGTGTTCAGCCTCACAGCAAGCACAAGTGACCGCAGGACGACAACTTGTACACCAGGGCTATACGACCTAGAGGAATGTCTGAACAAAAACAATGAAAGACTGCGGCCCGAGGGCCCTTTTGGGCTTGAAGCCACTCTGCCTTCAACCCAAGGCCAAGCGTGGCTTCCCTGGCTCCTGGAGCCAGAGTCGCCTTTCTCCAGAGACCGCCACAACACAACACAACACAACACAACTCCCACATACACAGCACCATCCTCTCTGGCCACTATGAGTTACAGCCCATAATAAAACAGTAGCAATGGATTAAATTATATCTCCTCAAATATGCATTGTAAATCCTACTTTCTAGGGGGTGTACAAGTGGGCGTCAATTTATGAGAAGGTTTGTTCCAACAATTCTGTTCTCAAGCTGATGATCCAGCAAGCAGCCTCCTCTGAATTTCTCACAACATGGGAAAAAATAAATCTGTATCTGGTTTGGTCTCGGTCTTCTGTTAGTGACCTAATGTTACTTTTGTACTGGGGCCTCACACCATTCCAGTTTGAATGGAATAAGAATTTGCTTCTTCTTGTTGTTGATTGCTGTCAAGTCGAACATGATTCGTAGCCACTCTTATGAACAAAAAACCTGATGCTTTTCTATAACTATGGTCATTTATTCAAGTTCATAGAGTTTCCATAGGCATATAGTTTAGGAAGTGGATGCCATTCCTGCTTCCAAACCTGTCTTAAACTGGGAGCTCCACCAAACTCCACTTTGGACAACCATTATGGCATTTGACACCTCAAAGGCACAAGGTTCAGCATCACAGCAAACCCAGATTACTTCAGTACAACAGATTGACAGAAGGGTGATGTGTAACTTAGAAGAATGTTCCTCTAAAATATAACAATACTAGTCGACTACAACTCGAAAGCACTTAACAACAAAGAGAGCTCTGTTGGCCTAATGGATTAAAAGTTTTGCTACCAAGCCAAAGGTGGGTGATTTTAATGTGCAGCCCTCAGGCCTAGTCTTAATTGTTTTGGTCAAACATTCTTCTAAGTGGTATTGCACTGGTCTGTTCATCTGCTGTACAGAGGTAACTTGTGGTTGCTGTGATGCTAAACACAGTGACAGTGATATGTCAAATACAATAATGGTTACCCACAGAAGAAAGTGTTTGGTGGAGCCCCCCAGTTAAAACAAGCTTGGAAGCAGGAGTGGCATCCACTTCTGATATAGTTTGCCTCCAGAAACTCTATGAACTTGGAGAAATGATGAAAGCTAAACAAGTGTTCTAGGGATATTGTAGCTGATGTTAGATGGATCTTAGCTGAAAGCAAGGAATACCAGAAGAATGTCTATCAGTGTTTCATTGATTATGCAAAGGCGTTTGACTGTGTGGATCATAACAAACTGCGGCTGACTCTGAGAAGAATGGGAATCCCAGAACATTTAATCGTGCTAATGTGAAACCTATACTTGGACCAAGAGGCAGACGTCAGAACAGAGCAGTGTAACACCGCATGACGCAAAATTGGGAAGGGTGTACACCAGGGATGTGTCCCATCTCCATACCTTTTCAACCTGTATGCAGAGCAGATTATCCGAGAGGCTGGGCTCTAGGAGAAGTGTGGCATCAGGATTGGTGGAAGATCTATTAACAATCTGCGTTATGCAGATGACAACCCTGCTTGCCAAAACTGAGGAGGACCTCATGCACTTGCTGCGAAGGGTCAAGGACTGCAGCCTTCAGTATGGACTGAGGCTCAATGTCAAGAAGACAAAGATTCTCACCACTGGACCAATTGGTAACATCAGGATGGATGGCGAAGTGATTGAGATTGTTCATAGCTTCAGTGTGCTTGGCACCAACAGCCAGGAAATTAAAAAAAAAAACAACGCATCGTGATGGGAAAGTCTGCTGTTAGGGACCTCTCTAAAGTACTCAAGAGCAACGGTGTCTCTCTGGAGACTACGGTGTGCCTGATACAGGCCATGGTCTTTGCAATCACTTGTTATGCATCAGAGAGTTGGACAATGACTAGGGAGGACAGAAGGAGAATTGATGCCTTTGAGCTGTGGTGCTGGAGAAAAGTATTGAATGTACCATGGACTGCCAAGAAAACAAACAGATTCATCCTGGAGAGGGTTAAACCGGGCTACTCCTTGGAGGCAAGGATTCTGGGGCTTCGTCTGACATACGTTGGACATGTTGTAAGGAGAGACGGGTCCTTGGAGAGGGACATCATGCTTGGGAGGGTGGAGGGATGGCGCAAGAGGGGAAGACCCTCTATTAGATGGATTGATTCAGTGACTGGGGTAATTGGGATGGGTGTGTCAGAGGCAGTGAGATTGGCACAGGATAGAGCAGGTTTAGGGTTGTTGTACATAGGGTCACTATGAATCGCAAATGGCTCGACGGCACATAACAGCAACAACATACAAGTGTTCAGGTCTTTTGTTCATAAGGTTGCTATGAGTCTTCTACGACTTGACAGCACTTAACAACACAGTCTCTCTTAGCAATGGTTAAGTGACATCAAGTCAAATATGACTCATAGCTACCCCTGAACAAAAGACCTGAACCCTGCTCTACAACTAACAACATTTCTCTATGTTTATAGAGTTTCCAGAGGCATGTGGTTTAGGAAGTGGATGTCACTCCTGCTTCCAAGCCTGAATCAATCTGGAAGCTCCTCAAAACACTGTCCATGATGGGTAACCATTATGGTATTTGACACAACTATGGCACAGTGTTCAACATCACAGCAATTCCAAGTTACTTCAGTACAGCAAATAGACAGGCAATTGCTGTATCACTTAAAGAATGTTCATCCCAAAATTAATCTTAGAGTTTGCATTTATATCCCAGATACACTAACTCAGATCTACATTTTTATCCGGAATATATATAAGAATTAGGGAGCTCTCGTGTCTTAGTGGTAAGGAATTGCACTGCCTACACAATCTAACATCTGCTCTACAGAAGATGGACAGTCTCCTCCTGTGTGATTTACTGCCTCTGAAAACCTCCTGAATGGTCAGTCCCAACTCAATAATACTCAACAAAACAACAATGGATAAGAATTGCCCTATGGGAATCACCAAGAGGTCTTTAAGGATCAACTGGGGATCTTGATAAAATGTAGATTCTGTGCTGCAATGCAAAGGCATGCACTTTGAATCCACCAGCTGCTCTGTGGGAGAAGGATGGGCAATATCCTCCCATGCCTTTTATAATAACAGTAATTCAGTATATTTGACTGATGTTGTTATTGTGCACATTCAAGTCAGAAGT